CTACTTTCTGGGCCAGGAGCAAACAACATGGAAATGTTTTTTTAGTAAATAGGACAGAAATTCGTTGAAAGATATCGCATAGACAGAGATGAAATTCGTTTCTCTTCATGTCTAGACCGTGTTGTCAGTAGTTAGCTGGGTAGACTGACCGTAAATTGATTCTACTTCATGACGCACTGTTACATTGGCCTGTTGTATGAATGTCTCATTGAGCTAGTCGAGATTTCAACTTTAATTTAAAGAAAAGGTTTTTTTATTATGCTCCTTTTAAAAATGAGAGAGCCAAAACAGTAATCGTTAGCCGCTATCTACAGCGCGCGAGCTTGCAATTCAAGGTAAAGAAATAGTTATTTTTACTCACTTACATGTTCAAGTTCAAATCACTAGCAGTTTACAGTACATTTATTTGTTATCATGCCATAGAAAATACAGCCAATCAGAATCGAGGAAAATCTTTGTACATTCCCATCATGTGCCGGGCGTATGTACCATTGATTGTGTTGAGCACTGTATTTTCTATGAAATAGTTTATATGCAACGGTTTCGAGTTGTATACCATGGATTATCATATGGCAAGGTAGTCTTGAGGTAAATCGGAACGTTTTGATTGGTTCTTTCTTGGTCGGGATTTCCCCATACGGATAGTTTCCATGGAAACGGTCATAAGCTGTGTATTTTTTGTTTTCGAAAGCCGGCAAATTCAAAACAAGCATGGCCCGAGTGCCATATAATAAACTACTTACTAACCTAGCTAGCTCGAGACGTTCTGGGGAATATTGGCCTTCGGTCGTTTTTGTACTGACCTCTCTGCGCTCGGTCCGTACTGCCACGACCTTGGGCCAATATTCCCCAGTACGGCCCTCGCACTCGGTTAGTAAGAGGTTAATATCCCACTTGTCACTTGTATTTTTTTACCACTCGAAAGCGTTACATAACTAGTATATAGCGCGCGAGGAAAGGGAAAGTTCAGGAACTGAACGAACCCATGACGCAACGATGCAAGTAAAAGCACAAGAGAACAGAACTACAGTTGAACCTCCACTAACAGCCACCTCTGAGTCTATACCACGGCCACTTTTTGGGTCCCCGCGGACAGTACATACATTAACTCCTATTTTAACCTGTCAAAAACGGCCACCTCTCGACAACAGCAATGGCCACTAAAACGCGTCCCAACTGCCAAAATAACCTCTCGACAACGGCCATTTAACCAGTGACTGACGACTGGTGTCTGCAATGTTTTTTTATTGTAAAAGGTCACCAAACTTGATCTGTACCGCGGTTCGTTGGTCTCTGTTTCTGTTTAGTTTCTGTTTTAGTGATATATTTTGTGTTACGTACGGTATAAGCTAAACTAAGCATTTTTTAACGAAAGAAATGTTGCACTCCCGAAAAACCAGGTGTCATGTTACACCCCTACCGCCCCATAAAGCCCTATCCAAAGGGTAAATGTTTGGCGACCAAACATCATCAAACATTGTTTGGTGACCAAACATACTGATATTGAAGTGAGTGGCCAAACGGTAAAAACATGTTTGATCAAAAACAGATCAAACTATGGATACAAGGCGTTGAGCAAGCGTCGGACGCATGCGCGCGCCAAATATGTTTGATACGGCTGTCAATCTCGTTCCCAGAGTTTTCGTTCCCCTTGACCAGCGGTCGGAAAACGAGAGCTCTGGGAGCAACCATTTCAGGCATGCGCCGTAGATGCAGACTGCGCAGTGAAACCGGATAGGCAGAATCACCAGCATTCGGTTATTTCAAGATGGTTGCTGCCAGAGCTCTCGTTTCCCGACCGCTGGTCAAGGGGAACGAAGACTCTGGGAACGAGATTGTACGGCTGTCCAAACGAACGAAACATCGCCCATCAAACACGAGAACAATAGAAATATTTTAAGTTGTTTGATCGAATGTTTGATGGCCCTCAATTTTTTCCAAACACGATCAAACACGATCAAACAGCACCAAACAAGGTGGCCAAACGGTAAAATGTTTGGTCACCAAACAATGTTTGATGGTGTTTGGTCGCCAAACGTTTCCCGTTTGGACAGGCCTTAACGGCCATCTTTCTACAACGGCCATTCTCCTCTGCCCCAAGGTGGCCATTGTGGAGAGGTTCGACTGTAGTTCCATTTTCTTATATTTGCTTATGTTGTACGCGTAAACGAGCCTTCAGAGAGGAGTACATAGTTCCTGGTGGGGTGTAATTAGTTTTCAAAAGAGACACCTTAACGTGAAAACGTTCTACCACCGTCCTACGCAAAGAGTACTTCAACACCATTCGCCACTGAGTATACCTTTATTTATAAACAACTAGACCTAGTTCTACTTACAAAAAAAATACAAAAGTGCAGTCTCGCTAAAAGCCTAGTTAACAGTTATAAACCCCAAGATACAAAATACTGTTAATAAAACCAGAGACAAAAATTGTAACTGCACCACCCAGTGCATTCAATATATCGCTATGGTCAGTAAGTGGGCTATGACATGAGTATAGAAGGGCTTTTGTAATCAGGTCCAGATCACCACCTACTTGTATTCAAAATGACTTCCTTACAAAACACTTTTCCATAGATACAAATTTTGTCGGACAGTGAAAGAAAATTTTCTCTCCCATTTTTGCTGTTTATCGAGAGCGTATGTTATTTACGTTTTGTCGAATTTGTCAATGAACATCAAAGGAACACATTAAAGGAAAGCATTCCCTCGAACTAGCAAAGACTAATTTCAAACACTGGGCTAATTAAACCTACTCAGTTATTCTTATTCTGACTACAGGATGTGAATATCATAAATGAATATATCACTTAGACAACGACTTGCTGTTCTTAAAACGCAATATATTTATTAATATTCAACCCACAGTACAATCCTAACCCCTACGATTTGCAATAAATTCCTAACAGGTTTCTCTCAAGTTTGTTCACCGACTGTCGAAAGTAATTAAACTTGCTATGATTTTGCATTTGCTATAAGCTCTAAATATTACGCTTAAAAAACTCACGAATCACGCTCTAACCAATCATAGCAAACATTTAGTGTTTCAACCAGTCACTGTAAGCAAACTTAAAGACAACTGTACCTTTGCTTACATGTTTCTCCTCGCTTGGCAAGCAAGAGTTTGGCAGCTTTTCTTCAAGTTCTTATTGGATCATTGGAGTATTTGCTGTGATTGGTCAGTTGTGATATCTTTAATATTGGACATACATGCTATAGTCAATTGACACCTGTAAAATCAAGGGATCCGCTGACCAACATCACGTGACCATATCGTGGGCTCAAGTTTAGAGCTCACTGTGGGTCACATGGTTGTTTGAAGTTGATCACTGCCGAAGTGTTGGTTTTCTAACGGATCGCGAGCTCGAGCCAGGTTGTTCAAAGAAAGTTAACATTAACCCAGGATTAAAAGTTAACCAAAGTATAAATTTCTCTTGAATAGAAATGTTTTTTAGTATGTTTTGTGTACTCTGAGATTATTGAAACTCAGAAAGGCAAGCAATCTAAACAGAAAACCTCAACAAAGAAATAAAAAAAAA